GCGCGCGCTCGAGAGCTGACGACCGGACACATCACTCCCGCGAAAAGCAAGCGAAAAAAACAACAACAAAAAACATAGTGCGTTGTTCTTTAGACGATTATTGCAATATCATGTTCCCTCTCCGCGACAAATTAACATTTCTCAAAAACTCTTATTTGCTTTTATGATCTACACAATAATACACGTTTTCATATAACAGCGTTTGTAATCTGAACAAAATGGCGCGTTTTCATTGGTCACACGTCGTCCGGGCTGAAGGAACAATGTTCCTCCCATCGCGGGAGATGACCTCGGTGTGTTTGATTTTTGATTGTTTTTTTTTATAGGGAAATCGCCCGCGCATCATTATAACTTACAGATTTCTAAGATGCTTAGAGCCCGTAGAGTAAGTTATCTCCATATTTAGGCAGTCGCAGACATCTCCTCAGGGTGCCTTTAAGTAGAGCTCATATAAGCAGTCTCCGTAAAAGGGGGGCATGCTTTCGTACGTTACATTGGTACAAATAGTCACTCGTATTAAAGGAAAAGCGCCGAATAAACAGGAACAAGGAAGTTGACAAGACTTAGTGCATTTTCAAATGAAGCTTTATTAAAAGAAACACACACGATTAATACCATCTTCCTCTCTAGAGCCACCGAATAAGCTATGCTTCAGCTACTAAATGACCGTAGCTCATTTAGTGGCTAACAGCTAGACATAGAGCCACTAAATGAGCGTAGCTCATTTAGTGGCTCTATTTCTGGCTGTTTAGAAAATAAAACTTTGTCAGTTGTATTAACGGGCACTAACGCACTTCCTTTGTCTTCTGATACATAACGGCCTTGCTTTCTGGTAGATAATGCATAATTCATCGTAATCTTATAAGGCAGTTTTATCTGCGTATATTGCGTAATCGTTGTTTGTGCTAATACTGGGTCACTTATGCGTCTATACCAGTGCACTTTCAGATTGCCCGGCGGGGTCTGTTTTACTGACCATGGATGTTATCTAGTTATCAGCACCCCGTGAAACGTTTTGGCAGAGCGCTGAAAATGGCCCGCGTCGATATAAAGCGCGCTGGACGGCGCGAAACGGCGAAATGTCCGACTAATAGCCATCGCTGTAAAAATCACAAAGGTAAACTTCTTAGAATGTCATTATTAATGGTTTCAATAACGTTCTTTTTACAGCGACAGCTGTTATACTCCGTTCACCCTTCAGCTGAGGCTAGAAGCTCTGCTTTCAGCGCGAGCTTTCTGCCATTGCTAACACGAGTGTGAACGCGCGAGCACTCGCAACCAACGCACTCCGGAGGCTAGCGACCTCGAGCTGAAGGCTGAGCTTCTAGCCTCAGCCTAAAGATGAACGGAGCATAGTGGCCCGTTTCCCAGTTTTTCGACGGCATGAGCGTAAACAAAAACTTTCCCCGCTAAATTTGTCGGGAAAATTAATGTCACGTGATCCAACTTTAACAAAAAAACATTTGCATGACGAGACCTATGCGTCAATTTCTTTATCTACAGGAATCTTCCCTGATAGGATGAAAATCACTAGAGTTTATGTTTTACATCACGGTGGGCCAACATTGATATGAACAATTATAGGCCAATATCGGTGCTACTCCTTTTTTCTAAAATCTGAGAACAAGTAATAAATAGCAAATTGGTTTGTTATTTAGAAGAACCTAATTTCAAAACAGTAGTATAGCTTTCAAAAATGCACACCTACGAAAATGGCCTTATTAAACATAAATAATAAATTAATTGATGCTTTCTAAAACAATTTACATACAATTTGAATTTTCTTTGATTTTAGAAAGGCATTTGATTCTATTAAACACGATGTTCTTCTTGAAAAACTACCATTATACGGTATAAGAGGTATCTCACTAGACTTGATCTGTAATTATTTATCTAATCGTTTACAATATACACTCATTAATGGTTTTCAATCAGAGCTAAGCAAATATATTACGGTGTTCCACGAGGATCAATTTTAGGGCCATTACTTTTTTATCTTATACATAAATGACCTAATCAACATACCAGCTACTCCAAATATTATTCTATATGCAGATGACACCAACGTTTTTTTCACCGATAAAAGACTAGAAAAACTTGAAAACATGGCGAACGCTTGGCTGCACCAATTATCATTATGGCTACTATTAAATCCAATAAAACTGAACATAGATAAAACAATATTCATAACCAGCACTGTGACTATAACATTTCTAAATTCATTAATGGAACAAGTACCTTCGCACAAGTTCTTGGGGGTTTGGTTTGACGAAACCTTAAATTGGACACGGCGTGTAAACCATATGGGCTCTAAATTATCTAGTTCAGTTGGCATTCCGAATAGAGTCAAGTTTCTTCTTCCCTGCTGGCTTATGTGCCAACTTTATTACAGCTTTAAAAACTCACATCTTAATTACTGTCTTTTTGTATGGGGTTCAACCACAAAAACCAACCTTGACAAAATCATTACCATTCAAGAAAAATCTGTCCGCACCAATGAAAGCCTATCATCGAAAGAGCATACAGCCCCTTATTTTTCGAAGTATCGTATACTGCGTATTGATCAGCTTTTCAATGCTAAACTTGCGGAAGAAATATATAAACAAATTAGTAGTGACCAGGCGGCCCCCCCCCCCCCCCCCCATTCTACGAGCTCTACCAACGTAAAAGCACACCTTATAATCTCAGAGGTCAAAATTATATGACACAAAAATCTCGCACTAATTGCGGGTTTACAAAGATTAGCACATCACGTTCCTAAATTAAAAAAAGTATTTGGAAATTGAAGAAATAGTTAAAAATGCTGTATCGTCTTATAGCTTTAAAAAGAGTGTGAAAGCTTACTTCTTGTTGAATTTTGGCTAGTGTTTTTTCTACTATTGTTGATTGTACAGTTGTGACGTAGATGGTATGACGTGTGTTCATGTGAATGTACTATTACTTTTGACTTTGATCGGACCCGAGTGTTATGTGTATCTATGTTGCTACTAGCGATAACATTTTACGCTTTGTCCTATCATTGTATGAATGCTGTTGAAAAATATTTTTATTTCTTTTTATTATATTATTATTTTTTTTCTTCCTCTCTGCTGCTGAGCGATGTACACGGCTCGTGGAGCCTCGTCTGGCGGCGTTAGATTGCCTTTTGCCCACCAGCCAAGACTAATGAGCCTGAAGAAAGTTTAATATTATTATTATTATTAATTCAGTTTCCCCGCTAAATGTAGCGAAAAGTTTTACGTGACGTGATCTATGCGCCAATTCAGTATCCCTGATAAATTTAGTGGAAAAATTGACGTCACTACGTGACCTATGCACAACTTCAGTTTCCCCGCCAGATTTCGCAAGAAAACACATCATGACCTTAAAATCCTTTCATCATCAGCAACAATCGTTTCTTCATCAACAAAGTATCGACGCTAAATGGCAACGCAACGTCATTTCAATACCAGATCACCATATGACGCACAATCGGAGCAATGTCAATCGATCCTCATCGTCGTATCGTCGAACAAGCAGTGCAGCTCTCGCTGTCTAAACGCATTACATCGTGTCATCGTCGCGGTTTTTTTTTTGTTCAAAATTAAGTAAATTCATATAGGAGAGCTTTTAAGAGCCTTATTAATAATTTAAGTTACTGAAGACATTTTTGAAGTATTAATACAGTTTCTTTTCTGAGTGCCATAATGGAAGACCGGGAGAACATTGTTTTAAAGCATGAAGCTCTTTTTAACTGAACCTCCTAATCCCAAGAGTTGTCCATCTTTCCGCTCGAGCATTTACGCACTATATCTTACTGGAAGATTGTCGTGAACCGATCTAATGGTGTCTCGTTACACCGCGACATGGCATCGTGGCGTCATGTCTTGTGACCACGCAGGGTTACATCAGGTCATCTGACGTGCATTTCACCTTGAATTGAGCGTGAAAAATGACGTCACTTGGCCTGACGCCACGCGACGAGGTCATATCACGTGACTACATCGCATGAAGAAAGGTAACTCGACGTTATTTTCACTATAAAACAGAGCGCAAAGAAAGAAAAAAAAGAAAGAAAAGAAGGGCATGTACTGTACTACAGACGAGCGTTCTTTTGTAATGTACAAATGTTCCCTTGGTTTTTTTTTCAGCGCTTGGGTTTCTAATTAATCAGTCCAGTTTTAATTGGACTGATTGGTCTAATTAATTGGTCCAGTTTTAGAGATGAAATTTCGTGGGAATGTCGGCGCTAAATTTAGCGAAAAAAGGGACGTCGCGTTATCTGACGTGACGTGACGTCATGGCAACGCGTGACGTCACTTCGTTAAATCGTGTCCCAATAATAAGAGTTGACACGCGTAAAATCAGGGTCCACCGAATCCGCGTTTTCTGGACTGTGAGTTTGCACACGAGTCAAATTTGGAGGAAGGGGTGGGGGTTATCTGCCAGACAAACGAAGGGCATCTGGAACCTACCAGCGGAGGACTGAGAATTATTTGGTCCAGACGAAAAATATATGACGCGCAAAAAAGAAAAAAAAAAAAAAAACAGATGAAAGGTGTGGTTTTTATGAAGAGTTTTATTTTCTCTTGGAGTTTAGAGGTTGGCAATATATATTCTACAGGCAAATGCCACAGTACGGAAAGAGCAGCAACACACACGTCACATTCTCAAGCGCTACATGTTCTAGCGGGAAGAGTGCCATACACATGCCCTTGCCGACAAACAAAAGCCGTTCGGAGGGGCGTGAAGAAAGGCAAACCTATTTCGCCCTCGCCACGGCCCAAGGTCGACGTCTGTTTATAGGAGAGAAAATAGATGCGGCCAGACGTATCCTAATAAATAAAACAACAAGAAAACGTGACGCAGCGTGTCCTTCTTCCTTTTTCTGTCTGTGTATTTCTGCTGGTTGGCGCTAACTATTTAGTCGAAACGTTAGTCAATGTTTCGGAGCCGCCACGCTCCACTCAGGCTGGGGCAAGCTGATGCCGTTGCTCCAACTGGCGCAAGCAGGCGTCACAATGAGCGGATTTCTTGAGGATCTTAGTTACAAGCAAAACCAGGCTCTTGATGATGTAAGTGCACTCCCTCCAAATAATCCTGTACAGGCGTACCAAGAAAGTAAGTTCGGTTAGTGCATGAGTCCATCGATAGTATTAAATTACGCGTTCCGCAAGCGTAGCTGTATGCCTTCATCTATTAGTCACATCCAAACGATATTTCGTAAGGTGGTGATTGTTTATGGCGTGCGTGCTTTTAGTTATTCATGCTTAGGTCACTAGAACGGCCCGCCAACTCTGAAGCATATTTTGTCATAAAATGTTTTAGTGCGACAAGTATCATAATAGGCAGACCACAAAAAGGTTCATTGACTGATTTTCAAATGTTTAAAGACTAAACGTAATAAACGAAAGACTGGTAGGGGATCAAATTCTAATGCTTTATAAAGGGCGAAAAAACGTTCCTGGTGCATCGCGGAGCAGTAGACTCTAGAGGTATTCCTGTCACGGAAGATTTGGTGGAAAAAAGGCTTAGGACACTGTGAAGAACTAACGCATTACAACTTTTGGTCTTTTAACACATGTCCTAGTAGTTTCGAAATCGTTACTTCACGGAAGTTTTGAACACACTTCATCAGCCATACTATCTTCAGGGTGGACGGTAAAGATGTTAACTCCAGACTGAGGCAACATACCTCTATGAAGAAGTTATTAAAAAGCTTGTGCCGTAGGGTATTACGTCAAACAGCAAACAAAAGTATGCAGAATTAATTAAATTGAAGCATTACACAAGAGGCGTTGCTTGACTCCCACTTTAAAAAGCGCAACTCAGTTTTTGGAAGCCCTAGTTTATTCATCACATAATAAAGTAATTTCCTTTATTGCGTCAAACGTTCGAGTTTGCGACGCATAACAGATTTAATATGTTTTTTTGTTATTGAGCTGGGCACACTGACTTGAACGCGAATCCATTTTATTCAGTTATATACAACCTAAATCGGAAAATTCAAAGCAAAATTCGAACATTTTGTAGGCTAATCTTTTATGCAATCATACCAAGAGAATATGTTTAAAATTAGCTGAATTGGAAGAGATACCATTCAAAAATCTTAATAATTACGCCTTTTCAATTGCTAATTATCCACGTTTTAATAATGATCTGAACATGTGGTTGCTTTTTGCTTCGTCTCTTTCTTGTGTCATGTACACCTTGTTTAAAAGATGTCTCAGCAAACAGCGCCGAATGCAGCCCAATACCTCATTCTTAGAGGCACTTGAAAGGCCGTCAAACCTCAAGCCTTTGACCAGTCGGTGAACCAGCGCATGCCGAGAAGCACGCGGAGAGTAAGGAGTGCGAGCTGATTCACCACTCATTCAAAGGCCTTGGATCTGAATTGGCATTTGGAATCACCGTGATATAGGGGTTTAAGACTCTTCGGGCCGTATCATGGCTTTTTTTACTCCTACCCTTGATGCCAGCTTCGTGAGTAGACAAAGGACATCAGGTAAGACATGGTCAAGGCTCCCTTGGCATTAAAGGGGAGTTCCGGCAAAATTTTGTTTTCACAAATTTGGCTGAACATTTATTTGATGAATATATGAATACGACTGAACTGGTAAATCAAATTATATGTCAAAATATTGTATTTTTGCGAACTTATTATAGTTTGAAAATTGTTAATTTTTTTTTTTTAACTTTGTATTTTGGCCATCAGAAACTGCTCTCGACGGGTTACTAGAAGTTTGACGGTGTGAAACGAAAGCTCGAAAAGCATCAAAGAGAAGTAACGCCCTACATGCAGTACCGTTTCGGTTTGCGAGCTCGACCTGTCAGATTTACGGGTGACGTCTCCACAGTGAAATACGCGGGAAAGTTGAATATTCGTTTTGGCATCTTCTTTAGTTCCCATTTTCTATAGAAATATTTTGAATGCAGAGATTATAAATAATGTGGCGAAAAGAGGAAATTCCAGGCGCTCCGAAGAAGTAATAAGTTCGTGTAGCTAAAAAAATAAAATAAAGTATAACGAGAGATGTCCCTTTCGAATTATGAAGAGAGTGAAGCTTGCAGGAGCTTGAAAGTAACCACCTGGAAGCTTGAAACTGGAAGTGAAATTTAGGTTGTAACCTTGAAGCTTCGATGAGGTTTCTCCCGAGCTCTTGTCATGAAGGAAGGTCGAGATTATTCTGCTTGGTTAAGGTCGTTTTGGTTTGATGTAGATTGCTGTGTCTGCGGTACTGTTAACCAGCTATGTTCCTTAAAAAAGTTCCATTGGGCGTTCGGATAAACCTTTTGCTTATCAAAACACTTTTTTTGTGGGAGGATTCATTATTTTGGACATCGACTTGGTCACATAACTTGCAGCTAGGATTGGAGACGGTATAAGGATGTATGCATACATATATCAACAGTTGTCACTAAGGAAAAAATTGTTTTTTATGCAATATGCACATATTTAATCATTTCCTCTTACTAGCGACAACTCTTGCAGGATGACACATGCATATTGGCACATGTGTGCTGAGAGAGCTTAGTTGATGCTACCCCTACCAGGAGGATTAAGTTTACGTCAGCCATTTCCCCATCGGAAACTGAATGTATAATAACATTTGATATAAAGGAAAATAATGTGCAACTTAAACTTTAGTTTAAAAGAAATTACAAGGTGGTTATGACACAAAAAAACAGTATAAAATAAACATGCCATAAATATTACGCGATACCACATTCATTTAAAAATACACAAACTTGGAGTTCGTTTGCTTTTGAGGTCATTTCTTTCTTCTAAGAAAACAACCCTAGAAGTCATGTGAGTACAATGCGACGTGTTTGATACGTTTAGGATATCCCTAAGGCTCCCTGAATTAGTTATGGTTCTGTAATTTGAGTTTCTTCCCGCAGTCTCAAGTCTAGGACATTTTATTTCCGAAACATCGCCCAACATCTTGCTTTGCATTTCAAGGTTCTGCAATGACACTTGCGGTTTATTCATGCGACAAATGTAAAGGCTAAATGTAGGTCAATATATAATTAACATATATTCGTTCGTTGTAATCTTCCTCAGTTCAAGCGGCGCATTCAGGACATCTGGAAGGAGGAGTTCACGGACTCATTCTTACTTAGATGGCTCAGAGGTGAGGCCAGCCCCTGGCATAGATCGATTTTCTTCCCATACGCGCGTCACCTAAAGTTACGGCACAATGGGTGTAACGTGCCACTGTAGGTTATGAGTGTAGTGGCGGCCGAGATGTTGACTTTCTGCTGTAACGCTCTGCTAAAGATATTTTATAAAAACAAATGTCCGACTTGAATGAAGAGTGGCAGGGTATTACCATAGTTCAAATATTGTGTCTAAATAAGAATACAAGTATGTATTAAAATTTACTGGCAAATAGAGCGTTAGTATTTTTAGGACAACCCGCAATGGAAAAGCCATTCAAAATCTGGCATTGAGTGTAGTGATACATATTGATACGTTTCGTTTTAAAGTACAGGTATTGCTGGCAGCGTAAGTCTATCCTGATACACTTTTAAACCACCACGAGCAATATGGCTTCAGCTTTCGGGCTCTTGGTAACACTGCTCTTTTTCTGAGTCAAATTAACTCCACAGCTTGTATGTTAGACTGCATTTAAAGAAGCCGTTAGCAAGTCTTTGCTAGCGGAAAGCTGGCTTGGAGTGCCTGGAATTGGGTGCTGAGTTTTGCGGTATTGTGTTTGTCAACTAACGTTAAATGTTTCAGGCAGCAACACAGGGATGACAGCCAAGCAGATCCCCAATATCTTTCAGTTGTTTCCTTACAAACTAATTCGTAATTAGGATCCTAGTGAATGTGCTTGCCTGTGGCACCAAGGCTGAAAGAAAACTATCTGGTTTGAAGCTAGAACTGGTTAGTAAAAATTAAAAGTGCATGGATTTCGTACTCGTTCTAACTGGGTCATACAGTGTACATTGAATATATGTATCGCACTTGAGCCATTCTTGTCACTTGTTTTTAATTCGTGTATTATTGTTCTGTTTAGATCTGGCTAGGACTGACATTGGTTTTAAGTGAAGTGTATAATCAAAATTACAGGTGTGTTTTTTATGTGAAACAACGATAATGACTTCTCTTGTTTTATATAGTATTATTATTGTTTTTTTTTTTTGGCATTGATTAGTCTCGGCTTGTGTCCGCGTGAAATCAGCTTTTGCGGATCATCGGTCTTCCGTTTGTCCGAAAGCATTAGAGCGCATTGGTAGCGCCCCTGCGTCTGCTGTGTGTGCTCAGCTGACCTGACTTTGGCATATATCACGGCTGTGCCGACTCGCTTCCTATATTCTGTCTGAATCTAATGACAATAGATGTTCAACTTTCAAGCTGTGCAAAAATCTTCCACACGACATTGGCGAAAAAGAACCAAGACAATCGAAAACATCCGTCATATTCCCAGCGTACCTTCCCATTCTCGTTTAAACAGCCGCAGGAGGCGTAGCGTTTTTTCCCCCCGAGAATAATGAGCCACTGAAATCGCCAGAGAGGTTACTTGACATGATGCCGCGCCTAATATGATTAATTTTATTTGAAGCGAGCATTCGTTCATAAAATATAAATCAAAATGAACATTTTTGTTTAGATGGTTTGACTGTTCCCACGACTAACCTAACCAAATGCAGCTATATAATGTAGTTACCGACATCATAATTAAGAAACGCATTTTATCATTTTATTATCACTCTAAAGTCAATCAAACTACTTGATTAGACCACAAGGACGCCGAAGAACAAAGCAAGAAGCGTGAACATCATAAACAGCGCCCTGCATTTATTATGTTGTCAGCGACTACAGTTAATTTCTTTCGAGAGAGCCGCCATTAAAAAAAAAGAAAATAAAAGTGTGATGTGAATAATTGTTTCTTCAAGTTGCATTGCCGCTGATTCCTCTGTAGAAAAAACCAAGTTTGCATAGGCACTGACTGAGGAAATCAGATAAAATATGGGGCGATTCCTACCCGACACAAATATTTGATGTTGGGTGGAATACCGCTTATACGAATTGTTCGATTAATTTCGACGAACCGAAGATTAAGGGACGTAGGGAGCGGCTTAACGTCGGCACAATATCGGTTTGTAGATGTTCGTACAGTTCTCGGTTGAATTTCTCAGCCGGTCAGACGACTGGAGTTTGTGTTAAAGAAAACTAAACCATTCATTGCGGAAAAAAAATACACATGAAGGAAGAAATCTCGGGGGCGTCATAAACGAGAAAAAAAGTGATAAATATATACACATATAATACATTTAAAGATGAAGGGTGCTCAGGTATTAGTGCTGGTTTCTGTGTAATGATCTCGCTTTTTTTAACATAGCAGTACCTATTGCATATGCTGTGACTAGTTGGTTGTGGCAGCTTGTGTTGCACAAATTATCCGGCTTCCTTATATATATTAGGTATCATTAATTGCCTAATCGACTGCAGCAACCAGTTTTTGTTTATTGAGAGAACGTTGAGTGGTAATGTGCTCAGTCATAATTTTTAGAGTCATAAACTCACAATGTGCACCCCATCGCTCGGTGGGTTTCATCGAGCATAAACTCTTAATAATAATACTTGTCCGAAATAACCACGAACAAAACCTATACATACGTGAATAAAACATTCATACTTTGAGCTCAATTAATGATGCGAAGTTTATGACGTGTAGGAGTTCTACGAATAAAACATATTCAGTGACTAGATTCAGTTAGCAGACCACCCAAATACCGAAATGCAAATGAGTTTTTGTTAACAGTATATATACTCAATTCAAAACATGTACATATGTGTATCAAGGTGTTCGATCTTAGTTTGAACAGATTTTTTTGAGAATGAAGAGGGTGAGTATAAAACGAGTCTTCACCATGTATTTATCAGGCTCCGCTGACATTAGCCGAGTGAACAATCGTCATGCTGAAGCTGCAGTACTGACGGCATGCACTATTAGAGGAAAAACCGATTTAACGCTCGATTTAAATATAGCACAATAATTATTGGGACTGTGAGGATATTTATACAGCGTGTAGTTGGTCAGCGATTTCAAAGTTGCGACGAGTCTCTCGCTGTAGATGAGCAATTTACCCAGTGCAGTACAACTGCTAGCCTGGGGTCTTTGACGTGCACCACGCAGTAGTGATACACGACCGCACGCCGGTAGGATGCTCATCCAGATCGAAACGGTCAAGAGTGGGGATTAAACGCATTATACCTGGGTTCTGCAGCGCGAGCTTTCGCTCCACGTTCTCCGAGCCGGTGCGCGCTAGCCCACTCGACTACCGATCCCGCTATAAAATTGCACTAAAAAGAGCGTTGCAAGCCATGGAGGTAGGAAGATTCTGGAGGTGACATGACGCCACCAGAGGTGAAGCCTGAAGTTCTGAAGAGACACGCCCCCAACGCTGACCAAAACCACAGCTGTTTTGGTCACCGTTGGGGGCGTGTCCTTTCTAAACTTCGGGCTTTATCTCTGGTGGCGCCATATCACCTCCAGAAGCTTCCTAACTTCGAATTGCTGGCACTGCCCGCAATGACGCTTGGAAGAGTGACGTTGTTTCAGTCGCGTCGTCACCTGTGTTGTCTGCGCACCCACCAAGCAGACGCTGTCGAGATAGCGACACCATGACTGAAACGATTACGTCACTCTTCCACGTGTCATTAAGGGCAGGGCTTGCGACGCTCTTAAAAAAAAAATTAAAATCAGTAAAAAGACAAAAAAAAAACGCCGAGTATTTCTTGATTAATACATTTAAAACCATTACCTTTACACCCATGTTTTTAATTGGCCTGGACTTTGATAGTTATTGCCGTAAATATTGCTATTGTAACATAACCCCTGAAACCAATAATTTATTTATTTATTTATGCAATACCCACAGCGCCAAATCAGGCATTACCGTGGGGGGGATATACATACAAAAAACAACGTACAATGTCATTCAGACCTCTGCTCCACGGCAGATAAATCATTCAAACAACATATAAACCTTAATTATAAACCATACAAGGAAATAGAAACTTATAAACAACACATATAAACATAGCTTATAAACCACGCAGGGAAGAACTCAAGCTAGATTTAATCTAACAGAGAAAAAAAGTGATCATTTGACAGTACACCAACCAAAGACGGAGGCAATCGATTCCACTCGTAGATAGTTCTTGGAAAAAAGGACATCCTAAATACCTCTGTTTTGAACGAAATTTCTCTCACCTTGAAACTATGGTCAACGCGCTCTGATTGATAGTGGGGCTGCATTATATACATGTCTCTTTGTATGCCAACTGTCGAATGATAAATGCAATGAAACAACTTTAAACGAAGTCTCCTTCTGCGAGTTTCGAGGAGCTCCCATTTTAAAACATCTTTTGTGCGTGTTGCGCTGAAATCTATATTATAATTCCCGGTAACAAACCGAGCAGCTAAGTTCTGCAGTCTTTCTAGCTTTATTTTGTCACGTGCTGTGGGCGGGTCCCAGACTACACAGGCGTATTCCATGACTGACCTGACGTATGTTTTATAGAGCAAATCCCGAGTATCTTTATTGAAATTTCTTGCATTACGACGGAGGAACCCTAATATTTTACCAGTCTTGGCCACTACGTAATCAACGTGTGTGTTCCATCTTAAGTCAGTCGTGTAATTTACCCCCAGATATTTATATTCTAACACTCTTGATAAAATATTGTTATTTATGGCATAAGATGCAGCGTACGGTTTTTTTTTCCTTGTGAATGTCATAAAAACAGTTTTCCCTAAATTTAACTGCATACGCCATCTGAGGCGTAAAAATAATTACAAAGGTAATTATTTTTTAAATTTTAATATTCAATTTATTGTGTTGATTATCTCGTCGTGTAATGCACGTCAAGCATTATCAATACATTATGAAAATGGCAATCCTGTAACACTCACCACCTTAAAGAAAATGTATTTTCGAATTAAAATAAACACCCTGTGTGCCAAAGACCCGGTAGACTCATTTGCAGGGAGAGGACCAGTATCTGAGGTCACTGCAAAACTGAAACCCAGAAAACTTAGTAATTTATCAGTAATTATACAGATGGAAACCAATTAGTTGACGACTGTACCATGGAACTAGGAGCATATCTGAAGTGCTATATTTAACTGCGGGTTTGAAATATTGAGCGACAAGTGATATCAAATTTTTGCACTAAATCTCAGATTAGTGTTGAAAACATGTCGAGTTGATTGGCATATTGTTCTATTTCTTCCACAGCTCGAGAATTCGACGTCAACAAAGCAGAGAATATGCTACGCAAGGTATTTATCAAGTACAGCATCAATAAAATAGAAACACATTTGATTGAGGCTATTAAAATTAACGTAAAATTCGCTAGCATGGTAGAAATATTGAAGTCAATGCACAGCTATATCTAGAAACGTTATTCTAGAAACGTCACGGGACATGAACAAAAAATGTAAATTAGGCCAGGCGACCAAGGTATGCATTTCTTGAGGTTATGTTTCGTGCCGTATGCTGAAAGGAGGACGTGAATATAAAATGTCAGATCATGTTATCCTGCTTCTGCTTTCTCTAAAATCTTAGCATGTGACATGCGGAGTAGAATAATATAATCAAGCTTTTTTACTCCGCTGATCATATGCGAAAATGGTAATGCCATGAAATGTACATGTGAACCACACGTCTTGGGTTACTGGACTAGAAGATGAGATCTTGTAATCGGAATACGGAAGAAACAATCTTGTCGGAAATCAAAAATAAAGAACGCATTTGATTGAAATATAACGGTCAAGTGTATACTGGAATTTGCGAATTATTCAAACTTTTTTCGCTGACTTTCAGTGCTCTTTTTCGTACGTTATTCACCTGGAACTAAGGTGCTTTCAGTTGTTTCGGGTTGCCTTCCTGGTAGGATATAAATTGTCGTGAGATGTTGCAATGGTTGTAGTTGTTCTGAAGGGCGCCTTGATTCAGTAATGTTTTATTGCTTTTCGTGTTATTGAAATGAACGTGTTGGTAATTCCGCGTTCCAGAATCAGGCCTGGCGGATTGACAACGGCATAGACTTGCTACTTCAGACCTACCAGTGGCCACCGGTAAATATCGCAGTCCGCATTGGGCGACGCGTAGCTCCAAATGACAGTGCATGACAACTCATTGTTAAATTAGTGCTCGGAGAAAGTTGACTAGGGACGGAAACATTAGTAGATAATGTTGTAGACTGTGAAGAGTACCAAAGCCGATGGATGTTTGATGATACAGTAAACACAAAACAAAACAAACACTGACCTACTTCTGAGTAATGGCAACATTACCTTCAGGTGGTCGAGTGAGTGCTTCGTGATTCGTGTACGAACTAGACTGAAGAAAGAAACTGGGACTGCTTATTGTTATGTCAGATATTCTTGGTTCATTAGCGATCTAAATTATCATTTTATGCGAGTGTACAATTTGCTTTGCTTTTAAAAGTTACACGCTTTCCCAAGTAATATTCTTATTGAAATCTAGAGAATAAAAAAAAATAAAAGCGTTAACTGACCTAACTATTTTGACATTTTCAAAGCGGGGGCTACTGGTATCAAATATTTTCACAACAATAATGAGTTTGCAAAATCATTACCATCCGGTGTCGCAAATGCATCCTGACTTAAGAACGATTAATTTTTTTACTATGTCAAACGCGCATATATACAGCAACACTTAAGATTCAGTTCCTAAGCATAAAACCATGAATAGAAACAATTCTTTCTGGGTAGACTTGACACCATTTAAGACTTCTCCGTGGCTCAACCAAGGAATCGGGACTTTAAGAAGAAAAACACTGTCTCGGATAATTTCAAATAATGCAGTGCAAGGCTTTGACATAGAATTACATTTTGATGTTTTGCACTATCAACATGTTTTGTTTTTATTGGTAAATCAAAGCTAATATGTGCAAGCTAAAAAAGTAACAATTATTTTTTAGGCAAAAAAGCACAACTCAATCTTATAATTAATTGTCATCTAAATCAATATGATTTCTTCTAGTCACGGGATTTTGCGAGGATAATATCATTAAACAATTTTATGAGCATGAAAAGGCACCTTAGGTACGTGATCTGACTGGTCGGTGGCGGTAATACTAAAAGGACACCCGCGAGCCCTTTGTTTTTTTTTTTATTTGAGTGTCTCTAGGGCACGAAAGCAGGATTTACAACAATTCATACTGTCCCAGGTATTGAAACGCTACATGCCAGGTGGATTGTGCAGCCACGACCGAGACTGCCGGCCCCTCTGGATAATGCGCACTGGCAATGCTGACTACAAAGGTAGCATGAAAATTTTATACTGTCGTTTGGGTTTAAATGAAGAAGACGGCATGTTTCTAATAATAGCTTTAAAAGCTAAAAAACAAAACAACACTAGCATGTGCAGAGAAGTACGGCCTCCGACGATATGAAAGGCCCATTCGCCGACGCAGTTCATACGGCAGTACTAAGCCCATTCTGGCCAGAGAATCTTTGTTTTTACAAGGAGAATAGAACAAAGGTTAATTTCGTTCCTCACCTCAAGCAGTGGGAGCCTGGCCAAAGCGAATCCAGCACAGTTACCTAAAACTTCCACGTCGACGTTTTTATGTTGTTGGAAACATGTACAGAAACATAAAACAAACAACTATATCCTAAAGAAATCGTAGATGCCTGCTTATTATTTTTGTGTTTTTATTTATTGTTGTTTACAAGTATTCAAACTTACCGAATACGTAGAAAACACAAGAAGTTCAATGAGCAAACATTTATCGGTAAGTTTTGGGCCAGAATAATTTACTAAATGGTGTTCAGGCTGACAATATTTGCTTCGGGAGCTTTGTTTTCAGTAGAATAGCTGTATGAGGTGTGATAAGGAATTGTGTGAAATATTTTTATAGCCGATTCAAACGACGAACCGAACCGCGATTTTCGTCCTCGGACCGGGTACCATGTGACCGTCACGCCGATTTCTCCGATCCGCTGCTCGTCCGCGGGAGCGCGGAGGAAAGCGACTGCGAGCGCCATTTCGCTAGCGGATTTTCGGCGGGTGATTGACGTGAAAAGCCTTTAGTCTGGCAACGGTACAACCATTTTGTTAAAACATCTGAGACTGTGTGTGAAAAAATTAAAGACGTTTACCAATATCTGTAAAGCGGAACTAGAGCGCAGCTCGTGAGGAGGAGGAGGGAAGGGTCTGCCCCTCCTCCTCCTCTGTACCTTCCCCTCTTCTTCCTCCTCTCCTCCTCCTTCTCGTTTTCTCTCCTTCTCCTCCCCTCCTCCTCCGCCTCTCCTCCTCTCGTTAAATTTCCCCGCTAAATTGTCCTCTAAATTTAGCAAAAATTTTCCCGCTAAAGTAAGTGCGTTACGTTTCCCCCGCTAACTTTATCGGGGAAGTGACGTTACATGACTTCGTGTCACGTCACCCATGAACAAATTCAACTTTTTTCTCTAGATTTAGCGAGAAAATTGACAACGCGTGACCTCAACACCAATTCAATGTCCCACTAAATGTAGCGGGACGGTTAAGCCGGCCGCGACGGCGATGCCGCTATAAGTGCAAACGGGCGCCTAAGAGCTGCGCTCTAAAAACCCTGAAACAACCAAAAGCAAAAAGGCAGGAAAAGAAGTCAGTTAGACAATGTCTCAAACGCAGCCCTAATAAGTTTATTCATTATACCTCTTATACACACTTTGAAACCAAGGTCGGCACCAACCAGCACACAAAGAATATTTGTTGGCCCCTTTTTTATCTTTTTTACAAACTTTGCAGCCAACTATGTGCACACTTATGAGACATGATGACCTTGCGCGTTCGCTGTACGTTTGAACGATACTCATACTTCTGAGAACCCCCTAGCACAATGGTAAATTTACCTTACCTCGCCTGCGCCCTTACTAAGGTGGCGCATAAATGTGTTTTGTGTATTCGCTGGCACATTTTGTAGCGGAATTTTTTGTTCAATGCGTGAAGAAAGCTCCAAAAAGTTCGCCCCGCGACGGAGGTTCCGGTACAGCTCCGGGCAGTGTTGCCAACCGTAGGGTAATTACCCTACTTGTAGGGTATTTTAGGCATTTTTGGTACATTGTAGGGTTGTAGGGCCGTCCGGCCATTTCCCTGCCAAAAGTATACGATATTTTCACACGTAGCTTCTTCAACGGCAAGCATAATACAAAAAAGTAAAAAAAAGCTGATGTGCAAGCTTTGCATAACTTTACAACCCGTGTGCTGCCACACCACGACATCATGCATAATGAAAGTATCCGAGTTACAAGACGTGCTAACAGAGTGCACCACACACCAAGTTGGAGTAAAGTCCCTCGATGTTTTTTCTGGAGAGTTTTGGAAAGCTACAGCAAGTGGGAGAGGTGGGAGGAGGTGGAGTTGCGCATATGGAGTTTGGAGCCAGAAGAGGTATCTTCCCAGTGGAAATGTTCCCGCCAATTTTTTTCTGGTGACTCTGGTCCATCCGGCGACCCTTGTTACACCTGCGAAACACGTGGCACCGCGGGCGGAACCAGGCCGAGCCCACCAGAACCGGCTGTCACCTGTTCAACTGTACTTTTCTACGCGATGCGTAAGGTGCGCATGCTGCATATACCCATAGCGGGAACTACCACTCGTACTGGGCCCTTTTTTTTTTTGTTATGGCGCATTGCAATTAACTCTCCTTACCACGCCTATAGAGCGCTGATCACGGGTGATCGACGAGTACAGAAACCGATTTCAAAGCTCCCGCGGAGCTTCCCGGCACGTTGTGCAGTCGGTAGGCAGTTTGAAGACTGTCTACCGACTGCGCAAGTAGTTGGGACTGGAGGCGTTCACTTGAGTGAACGACGTTTTAGTGAACGAAGTCGAAACCATCAGATTTCATCAAATGACACTTTAGCGAATACAGAAGAGCCGCCGGTTTCCTATCCTCCCCCGGTGTAATAGCCTAGTTTGTCGAAATATTACCCTCGTTTGACGAATCCCTAGGCGGTTCACCCAAAGAATAAGCTAATATACCGTTCCGATTAGCTTCCTTTTGTAATGAGCCGCCTTGCCTGTCGCCACGAGTGCTGGTCCCACGTAGCCCAGTTTTTAATTTGATGATAAATCAGCTAAACATGTTGGTTGGGGATGTCTGTGCGCTCGAAGTAACACTGTTGTGCTGATGCTACACAGCGCGCATGCAAGCATGGTGTTCTAGAATAACCCCGGTATGCGCGTGCATGCGTGCCCTGTCGCTTTGTACTGTATTAATACTACCCTATATCAGCATAATTCATGCATCAGCATTATTTTAACAAAGATTCGCCTCGTAGGGTAGAATGTAGGGTAATGAGAAATATTCGTAGGGTAACGTAGGGTTTTCTGGACGCTGGCGTGGGGTATTTTTAAAAAATAGGTTGGCAACACTGGCTCCGGGTCCGTGTCAAGAAGCCTTTGTCAAAACGCATATAGCACGCTGGGATCTTCTTTGCACGTCCAATCAGCCTTTCGCCCATCAAGACCTATCTTGCAGCCGGTGTGTACTGAAGTGTTTCGCGCGAGCGCAGAGTGCGTGAAGGCATCTTCAAACGCCTCTCCGCGAGCCCAGGGTTTCGTCGGTTCTACGCCGAAGCCTCCTCGAGCAGGACTATGCTTGTGCCACTGTCATGCCTTGGGTGAGTAAAGCTAGTCACTGGATCCAGTGACTTGGGAAGTAAAGCTAGCGGTATTTCACGCTAAGCCCCTCATGGTGTACTCTCTCCCTTTGTACAAGCTATGTCGAACAATGACTGTGCGACCCATGCTGTGACTGACGATGAGGAGGCTGTTATCTGCTCCTAATCTAGTCTTCTCTTAATTTCGTCATTTTGTTATTTCTTTAGTTCGCCAACATGCCAAGCTCTTAAAAAGAGGCAGAATCCACGAATAAATGCTCGGTCTGCCCTATAGAGTGTCCGAGTCACTTCGGTGGCGACGAAAAAGATTACGACCCGTCACTAGCCGGCCACACTTTCGGATCGTTTGCGGCAAGGATGCCTACGGCATGGATGGCAAGTAATTTCGGCGTCTCTACGCCAACCACAGCTCGAGGAAACCGTGGACAAGTGTGGCGCGTACAAGTTGTGGCTGGAGGCCTTCTTTGAGGGGAACGGCGTGAGCCATACCAAGAAGATGCGATCCTTCCTGGTGGCAACATTTAACACCCGCACGGTCGAGGTGTTGAGCAGTCGATGCTCCCCAAGGAAGGTTAAGGACCTCGAGTACGCAGAAGTGACGCAACTTTCTTAGAAGCACTACTCGCCGAAGACGAACGAGATTACCCAGTCGTACAGGTTTTTCACCCTGAACCAGGAGCCAGACGAAACAGCAAAGGATTTCATCATGGCGGTTCTGAAGTTGACGAAGAGTTGCAACTTCGGGAGCTCGCTACACCGAATGTTGCGCGACCGCATCGTCTGCGGAATTTGAGACCCTGACGTGCAAAAAAACATGTGCACGAAGACGTCGTTGACACTACCGCAAGTTGAAGAAATCTCCCAAGCTGCAGAGATGGCCAAGATCAACATGCAGTGGATGACCTGTCACGAGGAGCCTGGGGAGGAGGACAACGCAGCACATGCGCTCAACGGCCGAACAACAGAACGTCCAGAAAGAGCGCATCGACCGAGTGCTTGTAAGAGCGGCAGAGAGCCCTGCCAAAAATGTGGATCGTGGATCGAGAGAGTGCAAGTTTCGCAACGACCGATGTTTTTGCTGTAACAATACTGGTCACCTGGATAAACGCCGCTTTGTTACACGCAACAAGTCAGCAGGCGCCTTGGCTTTAGGTATTCGTCCAGACTCGAACGAAGGCCCGGACGGGCTTTTAGCAATGAAGCCGCAAGGAGAGTTTACCGGGAACCTCAACGTAGTTGAACCGTTCGTGCAGACTTTCCGTCGGGGTGGTGCACCGGTGAACTTTCATGCTAGAAACAGGGGCACCGGTGTTCGCCCTCCCATGAGCCACATACCAAAGGCACAGGAACGTCTCGCCGAGACTACGCGAGACGTCGCACGAGTTGACGTGCTTCCTGGGAAAGCGTTCCGTGCGCGGAAAGCTGGATATGCAAGTGTCACTAGCAAACAAGATTGTGCCCGGAACATTGACAGTCCTGCAGTGCACTGATCACGAGAATCCAGGTTGAGGCTACATCCAGAAAAATGTAAGTTCGGTCAGCAAGACGTTGCATCACTTCTGCGTACTCGAGCTCGAGGCTGCGTACTTGGGTCACAAAATTGATGTGAAATGTTTGCACACCAAGGTGGAAAACGTTGTTGCGGTGATTTTTTTACCGTTGCCAACATACGTGACAGAGTTAAGGGCGCTTTTGGGATTTATGTCATATAATCTTAAGTTTTTTCCGGATGTGTCCTCGGTCTTGGGGCTCTTGTACGATCTTTTAAAAAAGGGGACTATATGAACCGAGGTTCAAAAGGAAGCTTTCAAGCGCACGAAGACTCTTTTTCGGGAAGACAACTTTATCGCGCACTACGACCCCAACAAACCGTTATGTTTAGAATGCGATGCGTCACCCACGGAAATTGGGACAGTATACTTTCACACCGAGAAGATGGCATGGAACGCCCGATCGAATTTCGCTCCCGGACGCATTCGGCGGCAGAGCGAAACTACTCGCAGTGGGAGCGTGAGACATTTTCTCTAGTGCTTGGTGTCTTGAAATTTTGTCAATACTTGCTGGGACAGAGTTTCACTCTGGTTACCGATCATAAACCCCTCGTAGGGATTTTTCACCCAGAGAGACCAATCCTTGCGACGGCTGCAGCAAGAATACAGCGCTGGGCGCTACTACGGAGTGCCTACTTGTATAACATCGAGTACAAGCCGGGAAGAAGCAACGTCTCGGCAGATGGTCTGAGTCGTTTACCAGTGCCTGAAAGTGAGGAGCGTAAGTTTCGCGGATAAAGATGCTCAAGAATACATCCTGCTGACCGAACAGTCCAATGACGGGGTGATATCAACGAAGGAACTAGCAGTTCACTAACAATGATTTGCAAATACGGCAAATTCGTGGATATATACGAGACGACTAGCCACAGCGGTTGCAGGAGTCGCAGCTGTCGTTACGCCCGTATTTAGGCGGCAGAGACAGGCTGACGCTGAGTCATAGACTAATCTACAGGGGTCATCGTGCTGTAGTTCTGACAAAGGTAAGAGAAACAATACAGGAAATGTTACACGCCACGCACCAAGCTATTGCGGCTGTGATGACTCTTGCGCGCTTACATTTTAATGCGAAAGCATTAACTGTCCCATGGAGCGAAGCCGGTCTTGTCTGCAACCGTCTGTAGCAGCGAAAAGGCAGTTCAATTCTTACTGGCCAAGAGCACAGCAACGCATATGGTTCGTCACGGAAGTCGGCGGTGTGCTCAAGGTTAAAGCGGTCGCGCTTCAGAAATGAGACACAAAGAAAAACACAGCAACGCAGATGCATTTTCACGGAAGGTATGGGGCAGCGGGGTTCGACGCACCTGCGAAGCGGGGGAGCGTGATGTCACCACAGGAGCGCCGAAGGCGATAGGAAGACGTGGCGCGCTGCTTGTAGGAATGCTTCCCACATTCCTTCACATAAGCAGTCTTAAGTGTCTTTGGTTCCCCCGGGTTGACAGCGGCATCGAACGGTTGGCTAAAATTTGTCAGATTTGCGTGCAAGCCTCCTCTATACCACCAGCCAAGCATCTCGCAGGAGGGCCAACAGCGGAGACACCTTGTCCAGCTGAGAAACCGAGCTGTCCCAACCGAGCCGGCGCTCACAGTGGAAGCCATACCTGCGGTCATGGAGGAATCAGCAGCGGCCTCTACCGACGACCCCCGGACATGGTCTCGAAGCCTGCAAGGATTTTCATGAATGATCCCCCGCCACCACCCTAACCACGACTCCGCAGCAGCGTTCGACTAGAAGACGCAAACCACCAGACCGCTACTTGCCTTAAGGTGTAGAAGTGCTATGTCGAACAATGGCTGTACAACCCGTGCTGTGACTGACGATGACGCGGCTGTTACCCCACTCACTAATATATTCTTCCCTTCATTTCGTTATTATGTTATTTGTTTCGTTCACTACCATACCAAGCTCTTAAAAAGCGCCAGAGTCCACAAATAATCTTTCAGTCTGCCCGAGACAGTATCCGAGTCACTCCAGTACGTAACAGCGGCGCACGATTATTTGTCGCAGTAGAGAAACGTCGATTTAGCTTTTAGACAACGGTGCCACAGTGCGATGAGTTCCGAGGCACTGTGGGCTCGCGAACAGGTTTGGTCCGTTCCCGATTTCGTCTGTTCATTGTCTCCTTTGTGTGGATGCGCTTGGGAGATGGGCGAACAGCGGACGTGTCGGCACGCGATCAATTTGTACGCGGATCAGTCTGTCGTGTGAAGCTACCATTAAGCGCTGCCTCCAGTGCGTTCTTGTGCCGCTTCGACCTTCTGTCTACTCTGGTCAGCTGCACGCTTGCCTGGCTTGCCACTAAAGCACCTCTATACTGAAACTCGCGGGGTTGACTGATCTTCGGACACACTCTCAGTCTCCAGAAAAAGCCTCTCCTCTTCAAACATTCCCTTGCCACAATCACTGATTGGTTGAGCGTCCGTCCGGTTTCGGTTCGCCACTTCTGTCCACCCTTCGTACCCTCCCGCGTTGCGGCCTTGCATTCACCGGCAGCGTGCATACGCATACATACTACGTTGTCGGCCGCGTGTCGAAGTTCCTTTTTTTTATCGCTTAAGTATATGTCGCATGTTTTGCTTTAAGGAACGTCATCGAACTGCCGCTATGACCCCCCCATGGCGTTACTAAATCACTTTCGCACGTTTACAAAACACTCATTTACGTTTTTTCAACTTCTTGTCACTTCGCCGTGTAAAGACAGAAACTATCTGGCACAAGCGGTGATGATATTTGCTGTCGACTGTTTCGGAAACGAGTGATTTGGTGACACAGAAACTACGGTGTGCTTTGCTCCGTTCGCAGCGTAAGATCATGGCCTCGCATTCCGTAAGAGAAACATGTACGCGCGTATCGCCTCTCTGCTCAAGAGAAAAAACAAGTCGAAGACACTTCAGATTGCACACGTGTAGGAATGCGTAAGCATTATATTCCGGCGTGTGAAATGTTTTCGAGTAATGTTTTTGCACCCGTGAAAGTTGTTTCTGTCGGTATTGGATTTGGTGTCTGTGTTTGTGTATTCGTTGGCCTGCTTCCTCGGCTGTGGCGCACTTGCGCGGGTGGCCACGTGTGCCTGCGGGAGCCACCGTAGATGAAGACGCTGCTGCCGATGTCGAGGCCATAGATGTAGACGCGGTCGCCTCACAGTCCGTCGCGCGAAGCACACAACGAGCACAGATTAAGTCCGAAGTACAACTGACGCGCCGGAGGCAGCGCGCCACGTCTTCCTTTTGCACACTGCGCTCCGGCGGTGACATCCCACTCCCCCACTGCGCAGGCGCGTCACCCCCGCCGGCGTCACGGCTTCCGTGACGAAGTATCTGCGTTGCTATCCTTTTCTTTGTGTCTTTAATAAGGTTAAGGCGATCTGTCTTATAGCTCAATTTTATTGTATGAATTTATATAAAACGAAATACTGCATCTGATCTCGAACCGAATGATCCGAGCAGACACACAGCCGAAGCCTGGACAAAACTCGCGTGCGCGCTCCAGACGTGAAGCAATGGAAAGACATGCACAGTAGTAAAGGCGTCAAGGACACCAGAAACTCACATCGTAGCGAAAACACGAAAGTTGCCTCTCGAAGTCGCGCGCAGAAAACACCAATCTAGCAAGGGTTTGCCAGCAGTCACCTGTATGGGTGCTCGGTGGAAGGGCAGAGCCTAGGAGGCGCCAGCGTCGAAAAGAGAGAAAGACAGACTTGCGGAAAGGAGGGAAGAGCGAGTGATTTTCGTAAGAAAGAAGACTTGGCCGCTACTTTCAATATACACCTTTTTCACAAGGGCGCAACCATTTTGAATGTCGTCACTTCTGGTATGCTCAAAAACACTGATTTGATCTCTCCACGCCGCTGGAAGGAGTTCACGAAAAATGCGTGATTGTCACACATTCTTGTTTTGCCTCACCTACATTTTATCGCTTTTTACAGGTTGAAATGTTTGATTATTTTTTCGTCCCGCATACCAGCTACGGAACCCACGTGAGCGCCGAAAGCGAAATGAAACAAAAAAACGTCAATGGCAGGCTTTAGCTTGCCACTTCTGCTCGTCGCATGGCGGACTGTGACTGTGAGGAATGGCTAAGTATTGACTGGGAAAGCTTCTAGGATAACGAAGTGGCGGCTGGGAGGATGTGCTAGGTGGCCCCGCTATCTTTCCCTCTCCTTATCTGCGTCACCACTCTCTGCCCTCGATCACGCGGGCTTTTGTGCGGACAACACCAAATTTCGCTTTAAAAATTGCCGCTGCAGAAACCAGTGCTACAAAGCTACCGTTGCAAGAACTCTAAAACAAATGTATTCAGTAAAAAGCCTTGCTTTCCTCTCGGACTTTCTTTTTACATATCTCGAGAAAACCTGATCGCCTTTTTTATACTTCGGTGACTTCACTTTGATTATAAATTAATGGTAAACTCGCTTTCCAAACGCAGGAATGTTGCAGTGCGTGTCAAAGGAGGACATGCTCAAAGCATGCTTCTACCAACTTGAACTGATCCTAGCGGATTTAAAAAGTCAAAGCTTCAAGGTGAGGAAGGTTGATCAAGCGGCCCGGATGCCTGCCTTTCAAGATTTACGTGAACAAGCGTTGTTTTGAAAAATAATGCAACGTTCAAAAACGTTAGAGAAAGAGAGAACGAAAGAGGGAGATAGAGAAAATGATACACAAAGCCACCTCAATTATGTCAGTACGTATTACCATAAGCAGTAATTATATGCAGCCACTGAATGTGATTGCAGTAAAGGTTTTTGTATGTGGCTGTGAAAAAAACAGCAAAAAAAAATCGAAGCAGGTCGAAAAGTTGTTTATAATGGTGAGATTCAAGCAGATACGGTTGTAAAATAAAGCGAGCAGCACAGATCACGGCACATGGATAATAATAATAATAATAATAGAGTTTATTTCCCATTCAATACAGCAATAGAAGAAACGAGGGGAAAATGCGGTTTAACAGCTTGATGTAGCCCTCTGCTCCCTTACAGCTCCCCCCCCCCCCCCCCCCCCCATATGACAAAGTAAAATACAAAGCAACAGCAAAATATCAACATTGTAACAAAAATAGATTGCAACCTATCGCAGAAAACCAATATATATATATATTCGATTCAAAGAAGAAAAGAAATCTTGCATTGTGACAGATATTATATCAAAGTTTTTGTTTAAGACGAAATTTAGCAAAGTAGGTAGCATATACTTTAGAGACTGCATGTAATAGTTGTTGTGGAAAAGAGGCACAGCCCAACGTGCCGCAGAACGAGTTGGCTAAGAAATAACATGAAGACGCGAGTGAGCTTGAATGCTGTTTTATTCTCGTGTGAGATGATGGTAAGTAGCAAAGGAAGTGTTTAACGGCCGCGATTCTCTTTCCAGCACAACAAAAATGTAAAAACCTTTACCGTTTTGTGCGATTGCGAAAACTTCAGCCTGAAGCAGATATATAGTGTCAATGGTAAAGTACTTATCAGTCAATTTCACCGTTTGTGTTTTTCTTTTTCTTTTTTGCAATCATTGATGTTAACTGAATATTTTTTTTTTTCAGTGATCGAGTTTTTAAGAGAGATTATAGTTAAGTTTGAGGAGAACTATCCAGAGACTCTGGAACGATGTCTGGTCATCAATGGTAAAATTACATTGATTGTATTTTATGCTATAGGTTAAATGAGTATAAGAATAGTGCTTTTCGAATTCTTGATTTAATTTGTTTTAGAGTAGGTCTAGAAGCCAATAAAACACACCACTTAAACTCAATATATTTTGAGGGATTATCAAATTTTAATACCACCTTCACGTTTTTTTTTCGCTGCCAAGTGCGCCACGCGGAGTGACCCCAGATATTTCTAAAGAGAAAACCTTCGACAGCTGTGTCGTCATTGATTATTTAGGAAGCCTTTTTTAGATTGAAAACATTGATAAAAATATGTCTTAAAATAAAAAGAAATTATTCCTTTGGAATAGCCTTCTCGGCCGCGGTGAATGATAGGGTAATAATAATAAAGGGAAAAATTACTCACTAATGAACCTTTTAAAACTTTTATGCTCAACAGGAACCTTTCACTTAGAAATGTGTAGCTTGTGCTAAAAATGAGCTATTAGAGGCGATGGTTTAAAAACAAATGGAAAGCAAGATTTCGCTTTGTGCTACTCAGCGGCAACTTAGGCCCTCTAGACCCCAGCATATCAAAGATAAGACGGGAAAGCACGACAAAAGTCCATTCCCCCCAAAAGAAGAAGAGTCATTTTGCACGAAAAGGCCTCGTCTAGATTCTAGCCGGGTCAATATTCTGCCTCCCCTCACAATGTACACCAGTTAATGCTTCAAAAGAAATTGTTTTCTTTGCACGTAAAATTTTGACTGTGATGAATGCTTCGTGGGATTTAAGCGAATTGCGCGAACTTACGCTGAGCAAATAGATGAAACTCCACTGCACAAATTGCACTCGTGCTAGAGTCCAATTTGTGCAGTTACAAAAGGCAGAACATCCTGTTGCTGTCTAGAAAACTGTCACACCAATAAAACCATAAAATAAGCAATGTTACCTTGTTTCGAATGGCCACCAGGTATTTTTATTTTTTTCTGCCAAAGCACCCACCAAATTATCTGATAGCTCTCTCGAATTTTGCTTTAAAGCATGTTTTGAAGTGGCATCGTGACTCCCTGATACAAATAGTTATCCCCCAAAACACTGTCGACTAAAACTACCAGTTCTCTCCCCCATGGGTTAAGTGACAAAGAAATGCCGATAAAGATGGAAATCATGTCGTGGTTGAAAGAAATATAATGCACGCGATATGCTGAAAATGCCATATTTTCCAAAAGGTTACGTGCTGGCCTATGGTAATAGGACAACCTGGCAGTTGTAATTGCAAAACGTGTGCGGTTGACAGCTGCGTCCTTCACAATGAAAGAACACCGACTAGGCAACCGAAACTGTCATATTTTGAAAGAAACCAAAAAAAAAAAAATCTAAGTGCTAGTTCAACTGCTAATTCTGTAGAAGAAATAACAAGTGACTACGAAACATAATTCATGACAGCCATACCAAATAAAGGGTGATATTTTATTTTCTAAGCCAGACCTTATTCATTTGCAGCTCCCAGCTTCTTTCCACTTTTTTGGAAGATTATTCGACCTTTCGTGTCAGAAAAAACAGCAACAAAGATGGAAATATTCTCACAAGGTAGGAGGCATCCTTCCTCTGAATCACTGGACTGCATGTTCTTGCTCCGATTGGCTTTGTCCATGATACGAGCTCTTTTTGCGTCTATCGTGAATGTTAAATGAATCTGTGATGGCCACCACATGTCGCTATCACTTGACAGTATTGGGAAATATCGGTCGTGCAATTGCCTTATGTTTTTGTTTGCGTTTAATGAACTGAAGGAACTGTAGCATCAGAACATGCTGGATAGAAATTCAGATGCAAAATAGAATTTGTGTAACCATACCGCGGAAATGACGAAGGTTCAAATAAACACAGCTGCTTACAATTCGGGTTCGCCGCAGAACAATAAGCATGTCGACAGTTTTGAACGTCTTCGACTGTTTATTCAAAGGAGCCATTACACACCGTTTGGCTTGATACAGAGTAGAAAAATAGTGGAAAAAGTGTTATAGTGGACATAACTTCAAGTGAAGGGTGGACTCGTATTTGACTGTATACATTTGTTTGTAGTGAACTAACGTCTAATAACAGCGGCATTAATGTGTCCGATATAAGATTCATAACACCAGAGTCCAGTGCAATACGAACAGAATTAAGCGATACAGTACTTGTTAAACAGAAAAGTACAGGTTGCGACATGATCGAATTTTAAAAGTAGAGCAACGAATTTTGCTGTAGCAATTTGAACAAACACATAGTCACAGTTCACGTGCTCGTAGCATTGTGAAGTTGTTTGCCCATGCTTCCTGTCATCTTAAAAATGTCGACTGCCTGGCCTCATTGCAGCTGGAGTGCTTGCCGCGAATACAACCATCGCGCAACGACGATATCAGAGCAATTCCTTGTTTGCGGATTCAGGCAAACAAAAGGAAAGGAATGTGCGCAGAACTTTTGCTTGTTTTTTTATATCCAAAAAGCTTTTGTTTTTAGAAGAAAAAAAAAGCTTGTAAGCATTTTTAAGCTTTTAATTCTTTTTAGCTTTTTGGGTATCCCTAAAACCTCGATAATCACTTATCCTCGAAAATTCAAATTTGTGTTTGTTATTTAAAAAGGGGCAAAAAGCTACAAGATCATAAGGTTCGAAAGCGCAAACAGACAGGGCCGATAGGAAATAACACAAACGACAGGGACAAGCGCAACGCCTGTCCCTGTCGGAGCGCCTGTCCCTGTCGTTTGTGGTCTTTCCTATCGTACCTGTCCGTTTGCGCTTTTAAGCCTCATACCTGCCATAGACCAACTAGCCCAAACCAAAGTTTTAATGCTAAGAGATCACTTTGTGAGATTCCATCACGCATAGTGTCGAAATTAAATCGACGCGAGGGTAAAATTCGATACAAATAACGTTCTAAAAGTACGGTCATTTGAGGAGCCTCGCGGAACACGCGTCGTTTAAAAATAAATCTTAAATTGTGTACCCTCTCGACAACATACGATATTAAGCATTTTCAAACGTCATACTCTGTGACCGAGTTCAGATATTAGTTAAACTTCCAAGCGTATCTGAGAACTATGCCAAAACAGGTTTTCTGTCATCGAAGTACCGCTTTAGTTAACGCTAATCATAGAAAATAGTATTATTCAAGACAGCGTCAACCGAAGAAATCATTGTCAGTTCAATTTTTATGATTTTAATTCAGACTTTGATATCATATGTCTGTTAGACCTGATTCAGCATATAATGTACTTCACGTTTTGAATCGCCCCCTTCTGACTGGCTGAAACATTGCAGTTGGATGGCAGCCCGTCTTATTCAAATATGTGGAACCCTCTGAGCTTCCAGCTTATTGGGGCGGAAAACTTTTTGGACCGAATAATGACCCCGAGTGTTCCCACGAGGTGAGGATCTGCAGTTGTTTGAAGGGTGAAACCGTGTCATATTTTGTAATTTTCTATCTGCTGTTAAAAACTGCAGTTCTGATTTCCTGCGAAATGTTCAGTGCCATAACTGTTCATCGGCCGTAGCAGGTTTCTAAATATTCTGTTAAAAATAGGATTTATAACCATATTATAGCACGTCTTATGTAACAAACCAGATAAACCCGACTAAATAAATTGTTAACCTCAATAAAATAACTATATAGACCTTGGGACTCGTCGATGCAGAAATGGCTTTGGACGAGCCTACACTGTCATCTCAAAAACACTTTAAACCAGTCGCCACCGCAGCAGAAACTCTACATCTGTCTTATGCTTTATTAGCATACGTTTTTTCCAAGCACTACATTCTAAAGCCCCATAGTCCCACTTGAGCGGAAACCAGCAGTCACTCACAACGACCAATCAGAAGCATGTGCAACACGCATGCGGAGGTATCTTTGTGAGGCCTGCAGCCAGTCATGCAAACCTTAGCGGCACCGACAAATTGCATGCCTGCTAAAAATACTGTCGAAATCACGCTGCAACTGTTTCAGGTTGCCCTTAATTTGTTATCGCTGCCAGACGCTTATGTGAAACTAGAGCATGACACATTCCTTATGTTTTATTTGAAGGCGCTATTTACGCAGAGACAGTGAGCAAAGTATTCCTTGTGCTCATTTATCCAGGGCACAATGTGTTTACGAGCCAGTTTCTCTCGGGACTCGTAATTCTTGGGGCTCTCCACGAATGGCTGCGTTCGTATCACGTAGGCGTGCAAGAGTGCTTTAGAAACTAAATTGTGAAAATGAAACAAAATATCTCTGGGTCCCTTTGAAAACATCATTTTTAGCCGTATATAACGCGTGCTGTATGAAAGTACTAAGGCCAGCCTAAGGGTCAACCCCACCCCCCCCCCCCCCCCCCCCCCCCCCTTCCCATAGGTCCCTTTGGACTTGAAAGAAGAGTAGATAGCTTGGGGACACTTATGGAGTCGCAGTGAACAGATTTTAGTCAATAGAGCCGATAAAAGATTCGTTAAATGCGGTTTATAAGACGCGAACAAAGTTCGTTCCGTCTTGTGACTCGCAAACTTTGCTTATTGCAACATTGCGCCGTACCGGCAAGCTTAAGATTGCCCTACTTGCGGGAGCATAATATTTCTCACTTTCTGCTTCAGTTTCTTTCTCTGCCCTTTGTTAGCAAATCAGCATAGAAGTAAACCCAGACAGGTTCAAGATATTTCTACGTAATATGTCCAACTCCGTTAGACGTAGCACGCAAACGGTGGGTCCCGCTTCCGTGTTGTTAGCGCCACCAAGTAGGCGTTCTTCAAAGTATCGCGAGAGTGCAGAAATACGGAAGACACCCTAAAGCCCAGTTCACAAGATGCGGTTTTTCTCGCGATTTCGCAACTGCGACGTCAGGATCCACAACCTCCACCACACATTATTATTATTTTTTTTTTTGTTGTTGCCGCGCGAGCGATGTTTTAGCTGCGAAATCGCATGTAGATTCGCACCATGTAAATTGGGGTTAACGACTCAAACAACGCAATGTCATCCGCGGTGTTTTCGAGGAACCGCACACTATAGAGAATTGTAAGTATGACGCCGCGATTGGTGTCCCATATGTGCAAGCACGTGCAGCGTACGCGTGAGCGTAGTATGCCTTTATCAAGCTTGCATTTTGGACGGAATCGTCCCCACGAGTGGAGACATGGTGGTGGCCAGTCGCCCCACCTGCAGTCGTCTATAGTGTGTGGTACTGGCACAGTATAACGCACACCTTTCTTGTGTTACAGCCAGTAAAGTCTGACACAGTACAGATTAACACAAAGTGGGATCGAGGGTTCCCAGCAATCTGTGTCAAGGAGAGTAGCGTAAAGGCCGGAATGCGAAGCCGCTGTTCCTTCTTCATCAATGCATCCAGTTGTCTAGTTCAGGTTTCCCTCTGCCCGTGTGTGCAATGATAAATGCTATCGTATTCACACATAACCACTTCTGTGGTTTATACAAATTTGCCTCGACCATCGATTTGCTGCCCCGTAATTTCGGAGCGCAATTTCGTCTGCTTCTTGCACAGGTGTGGCTGGGACGTCGGGTACGCCGAATTCTAATTGGCCCCAATTGGAACAATAGTGGGTAGACCTCAAGGCAGCCAGCATCGGGGTCTACTCACTATACTTCCAATCAGAGCCATTCAGAGCTTGGTGTTTTGACGTCACTCGAACCTCTGATCAAGAAGCAGATGAACTGGCGCTACGCATAGTCACCGTCACTTTAAGAAAGGCAAGATGTGGCTCAATACGTACACAATTTAAGCTTCGATTCGTTCTTACGCGTTTTTATTAGCAAATTCTATAATCTGATTGACTACGGAGCGATGGTAAAATCCTCTGTGCTTCCTAGTTCCTGCGTTTCTTAAATAGTCATTAACTATAAAGTATAGCATCTGCCACAAACAGGAGGACAGCAATTTGGCTAGCTAGAGTATGTCGTGCCTGTGGCAGTGATTCTCGCCCATTAGCGGGTCCACTAGTACATTGAACGGTTATAATATTTGATTTTTTAAAAGTATTTTCTTTACACGCGAGCACACTGTATATAGCAAACTTAGTATAATATAACATATTAGCAATGTGGAAACTAATAAAAAAAACATCGACCCATGTAGATTGGACGTGGAGGCCAGGTACCCGAGGAGCTTTACTTAAGGAATGGGCCGAGGGTCTCTGATGACCGAGACTCGACAACTTGCTCTCTGGAACGAGGCCAGAGCCTCGAAGTGCCTGTGGAAGTGACACGCGCCGGCAGCACCCTGCGTTGGAAGTTTCAGACGAGCCCTGGGCACGACGTGGACTTCAGCATCACGCGCAGCGTCAGAGGAGACGCGAAACAAGGAGAGCAGGTCAGGCAGGTCGCCAGAATCAAGTGCGACCTCGTGCCGGAAACTGGTCAGCTGGAAAACCTCGCGATCGGATCATGTGAGTGGGACCCCTTCGCTTTTTGAAACTTCATCAAATGTCCCATCATGCGCTTTGAACGATCAAAATATTAGCACTTTAGACAAAACCCCGAGACTGGGGGGAAGGAAGGACAACACAACAAGAAATTTCAAACACGGCTGAAAGTTATTGGACAGGGGATCGTAGTTTTATAGGGTACCAGTGCCCCGAAAACCAAAAAGAAGAAAAAAGGGAGACGTTGAGCTTCTCTTCCCCGAACGCACAAGAGAGGGAGGACATTGACCAATAGCCCATCGGTATTGTTCTAACGCAAACAAAAAGGGGGGGGGGGGGGGGGAGGAGAGATACCTTATCCCACCTCGGTGAGGTCCTGATACGCATTCCAAAAGTCAGGGCTGCGGGGCGGTGACCCAGTAGGGTTAAACCCCAATAAGGACAAAGGCGAACATTTGTCAGATTATTACATTAAAAAGTTCTCAAAAAATGGGGCGACCGACCTCACTGAGCTTTCCACGCATGCGTAACACCGCTATAACCGTAGTCGACAGGAGTCATGGAAGAGAGGGACTGCTAGTGCCGTCTCGTGCTCTACTCGCGCAAAGCCGCAGTAGGGTTGTTGCCCGCGTAGAAAGACTCTACATCTTTTCCCCAAGGGCGCAGCCATTTTGAATATCGACACTTCTGGTATGCGGTAAAACATCATTTTGATCTCTCCACGCCGCTGGAAGGTGTTTACGAAAAGTGCGTGATTGTCACACATTCTTGTTTTGTTTATATTTTCTCGCATATTTCAGGTTGAAATGCGGCGGCGTAGCCAAACTTCCTGGTGATATTATTGCTATATCATTGTGATTTATTTCCCCGTTTTTGGCCGAGTTGGCATCGCCCGCAACTTCCACTCGAGGGTACGGGGTTTGAACTGCCCAGCGTTCTTAGATCTATCAGTTGACAAGTTCCACGGAAGAGCGGAGTTCGAAAACATTTCTTCTCTGTTGCACGGGTGGATAGGGTGTCTGAATATCTGTCTCAGGCTGAAGAATTTTTTTTGTTGCAATGCGAGTGTACGCGTCTAAGCATTAGTCAAGGCTACGCGCTCGAGTTGAGTCACACCGGATTGCGCGCACTTCACAAGACACACAAAAAATGAGCCGGAATCACTCGAAGTCTCGAAGAAGGGTGTCAGCATCTCGCGCAGCGTTTATATATAACAAAGTACGGTGAATGAAGCCCCTCAGCACTTTTCCTCGGGGTGAACGTTCCCGAAACCCCTCTTCTCCCTTGCGAAAGCAGATGATTTCACGCGGTGCGCGTAAAACGACAAAGCCATTTTGTTGTTCGTATTGATTCACCGCAAACGTGCGTTTAATCCTGCGGTGGATAGATCATGCACATGAGCGGCCTGTGCAACGTGAAGTTCGCCAGATATGCCGTTTGAAGGTCATGCACATTGCGACCGAATCTATAGTCGTTTTTACTTTCCTCTCGTTCTGAGGCACGTGGGTCATATGTCTGCTTTGGGGGAAGAAAAAATAATAAGACATTTCAACCTGGAATATGCGAGAAAATATAGGTGACGAGAAACAAGAATGTCTGACAGTCACGCATTCTTTGGGAACACATTCCAGCGGCGTCGAGAGATTGTGGCAACGTTTTACCACATACCAGAAGTGACGACATTCAAGACGGCTGCGCAATTGCGTAGAAGGTGTACAGTGGTGCCGTTGCGCGACGTGGCTTCGGTAACGACCGTGCACGGTGTCAGTCTTCAGGACGTCCCGATGAAGACAGTGCCACTGTTGAAACGTCGACGGACGTCAGACCCCTTTCTTATCTTTTTTTTTTAATTTTTAATTCTTTATTCCATTTTCTATTTAACTATTAATTTTTGTAAGTTCTTGTGTTTAACTTTGACTTTTATTCTTTCATTTTTAAGTGTACCTACTCGTATTTAGCGCTTTTGTGTCTAGCCTCGATTGCTCTTGTAATATAATACACAAGTTTTTTCAGCCCTTTACTCTTTTTTTTTTTACTTTTTTCGCCATTTAGATTATATATATATATATATATATATATATATATATATATATATATATATATATATATATATATATATAATAAGAATGAGTGAAGATTGACAAGTGCAGCCGTAGTGATGTTGTGAACGAAGAGGGGAGAATTTGATTATTGAATTTCATTGCATTAAAGTTAGGGAAAGGGAAAGAGAGCTGGCGAAAAATATGGCCAGGAGCGGGGATTGAGCCCGCAACCTTCGCCTGTCCGGGGCGACGCCTTAACCGATTAGACCATCCCGGCCACTGGTTTCGGCGGACTTAATTTCTGACCAGCTCTTTGTGTACTGTTTAGTTTCGAATTCACTTAACTTGGTAGACGACAACCGTTGATGATTTAAGGCCCGCACTATATATATACATATATATATATATATATATATAATAAATGAATTAATTTATATATATAAAAATGTTCAGCCGACTGGAGTGAAATATTTAGAAGAATGTGTTTCTTCGCCGAATTATTGATTATTTCACGAAGGATATTTATTCTTGAAACTCCCGCTACCCCTCGTATTCTCACCTTATCACAAGCAATCATAAAGGTACAGCCTGCTTCATGATAACGATCGATACCTACAGATGAACAGAAAGGAGCGTTAAACAGAGACACACACACAAACATGTAACAAAATAAAGCTGGAAACAAGTATAAGCAACACAGACGAAACAAATGATATAATACTGTATGTATGAAGAGCCTAAATGATTTACTCATAGAATATATGAACATGAAAATGAGCAGCTTAAAAATAATGGCAGTGTTGATTGCAAATTTAAAAAGCAGTACTCTAACAAGATGTGCTTCTTGAATTTTTAATTTTTTTTTCTTTTTCAGATATTTTCAAGTTTGACAACAGCTACAGTTGGTTCGCCAAGAAGCAGCTTTCTTATATTTTGCAAGTTGGGGATCCTGAAAACTCACTTGTGCCACGCAGTTGATAACTTCACTGCTGATTTCAGCGAAATATATCAAGCATTCTACAGTGTATAAACTAAAAATAAATAAAAATTGAAAAAAAAAGAACTTAAGTTGCAAGGAACGTTTGAGTGGAAAGATAAGCATCAGTTTCGTTCAAGATTCTCCTCCGTCTTTGTCGTTGCTTTGAAATAGATAATATGAAATGTGGGTATGTCTTGAAAACCTTACTAATAATTTAAAATACCGTCATATCCTCTGAGAAATCTCCAAGCGTGTTTGTTTTTGAAGTAGCTTTAGCTGATAGCGGCATTCAGTTAATACACGTGCCACTCTATATAAGCCGTTCAACCCAAATTAGGTCAAAGAATTTGACGCCCTCGTACGTTATGCACCACATAGGGTTATTGGCTTGACTTAGCGGTACATGCTTATGATAGTTAAGAAAATAAAGAGAGGCATCATTGTCAGTTATTCAGGAAAAATGGCTGGCTTCTTGCTATGCTCTGTTTTGTTATGGGTGTGATGCACCAACCCTTGCTACGATTCTACATCCGAGGGAACACAAAACTGCCGCGACTGATGTTAGCTGCATGATTATAATTAGGGTGCACTTCTGTCGTATGCCATTGTTAGCACCCTAATTATAATCATGCAGCTAACAAGGGCATACGACAGAAGTGCGAAATTCTGCCTGCGTAATTTTGTTTCCAGAAAAAGAAATTGAACTTATAAATGTATAAATGGGTCGGCCTGCTCGCAATAAAATAATTTTATCTTACTGAAAGATAATAATAAAAAAAATGGTTGCCAAAGACAAGTGAAAGAAAAGTCACTAGAAGCTATCAGTTGCGGAGCTCGCGCTCTGCGGCCGAGAATTGTGGATCGAACGCTACAGTCGTCACTAGCGCCTAGAGTGAATGACTGTTCATTAAAAGTGACGTACACACCTTTAAACTAGCAACCAACATTTAAAAATGCCACCCTCAACGTGTCAGCCCTCACCTAACCCCAAACTCTATAAAAAAAAGAAAACGCTAAAAAAAAAGAGATCCGGGACTTGGAGTTTGCTAAGGAAAAAGAGAAACAAGAAGAACGGAAGAGAACTTGTCTTGAGGTTGAAGGATTTGTGGTTATGCCGACATGTTGTGTACCCGAGTGTACGGCCGATTACAACATCAACCAAAAGAAACGACACTTTCCTAAGCAATCGGCAAGTGTAGAAAAAAAAAAGAAGAAGCTTGGAACCGCGTTACAACGCGCAGGCAAACTCACTCGGCAAGTTACCATGTGTGCGATCTCCACTTTAACAGTGGGGATGTTATAACAGTTTACAAATACCAAGTAGGCGATGAAATTGTGGATCCAAGGGTGGGACGCTGCCGGCAGACTTGTACACGTTACTGAAAAATAGTAAGGAATTACATTTACAATTACTCGAGGCTAAATTGTAATTTATTACAATTACAATTACCCTCCCATCAAAGTAACTGACCGTTACCCCAAAAAGTAATCCCTTACTTTCGTGCGTTACTTTTAACATTATTGTCCTCAAGTAAGAAACCAAGGGAAGAGGGTTATTTAAGTTCTTATTGCTGCCACCTGTTCCATTGAATGACCTTGAGTATTTTGAGCAACAGCTGGCTCTCGAAAGTCTCATCAGACATTTTGCGTTATTTCTTACTCAATATGTCGACTGCTACGCTGAACACCATTTGAGCTGAGGCTCTGGATGGGAGTGCCATATTGTTCCTCACGAATGCTTTAAGCTCTGCATTGAGCTTTTTCAGCGAAGCGAGGGAAGTACTATTTACTTCGAATGTACAGCAAAGCTTCGTCGTTGCAGCCGTTGCCATGCTATTCGAGAGATTTAGTAGATCCTTCCGATACCTCCGATACCCGCAATAACGGTACCCTATAACGATATGATGCATACGTAAAGACGGCGACGAAGTATCGGATATCATTATCAGAATCATCGGACCGATCTACTAAAATTGTCCATTGTCTAAATCGCGAAGCTGTAGAAGTCATCAATAGCAAAACATAGTTGTAACAGTAAGGGGATAATTAAATAATAAATAAGGTTTGGCTCGATATTCTTCTTCCTCTGGTTATGAACAGTTGGAGCCTCACTTGAGACGTTGGTGAATAAAAAAAAGTTTCCAGTATATAAATATAAGTAATAAAAGGAAAAGAAGGACACTCATAACAACAATTAATTAGAGCGTCGGTTAAAACAAGGAAATGTAAACGCACGTTTGCCGTGTGTACTTTTCTTGGTGCCGTTCAAAAACTCACGGAGCACGGACCGACTGCACTTTACTCCGGTGTTCTCCAGATAGACGTCCGCTGATGCCACGGGCAGCAAGGGGTAGAGTACTAAGCCGCGCTATGGCCCCAATCACGAATTTCACTCTCTCCTCAAGCCCAGAATATCAAGTCTACGTCAGCCACCATTATGTTTTATTTATAAAAATATCTGCTTGAGATAAGATGCGTCCTGCTGGGGCAAAACAGGAAGAAGAAGAAAGGAAGACTATTACCATTTTATAAGTGCTCGCAAAAAGCTGACTCACAAAAAGGGTAGGGTAGACGGAGCGTTGCCTCGTGTTGTGACATTATGAAAATGGTCCTAGTCACTATAACCAAGAAGGACATTGTTAATTCTTTTCAGTGCACTTACCGCCTCAAGCTTCTCGAAGAGGCGCACAATAACTTGGTGTCCTCCTCCCCCCGTCTTCGATCGCAAAAAACAACAACAAAGGAACTAAAAAAAAGCGGAAATGACTTGCCCCCCCCCCCTTTTTTTTTGTAGAGTTGTTTATTTGGATTTTTTTACATTGATGTCAGGGTCTAAAAAAAAGATTCAGGGGCTTGGTGCTGCAAAAAAAGGGTTTGCGGAACTGAAGAGTGCCAAGCCTCTCTTTGCGCTGGTCGATTCGCGTGACAGTGTCACTGCGCTCGACTTTACAAAAATGAAAAAAAAAGAAATCTTTATTTAGAATGGGGGGGGGGGGTGGTTCTGAAAAAAAAATGTAACGGATTACAAGGAATCCGTTACCTAAAAAATGTAACGGAATTACTTTAAAATTACTCTAGAAAGTATGTAATTAATCCGTTACTAAATTACTGATAAATGTAAGGGATTACAAGTAATTTCGTTTTTGTAACGGATTACGTACAAGTCTGGCTGCCGGCACGTAAATATGGGCACAAAACTAAAAGCTGGAGAGACAAGACGTGCAAAAGGCAAGGGAAAGGAAAAAAGCGAAATTTTAGGCGCACGCCCTTCCGACGTTTTTTTTGGGGGTTTTCTTCTTTCTCTGTGAGAATTTGGATTCAAGGGTGGGCGAGGCGTTGAGGGTGGCATATTTAAATTTCGGCTGCTAGTTATAAGAAGTGTAGTGTCTGTTTTCGTCCATCCATGTTTTATTATTTCGTGTCACCACGAGGAAGATGGAAGCTCGTTCAATAGATGCAAAAATTTCAAAACTACGGCTTTTCTTGTCTACTCCCAGCGCGGGTCAAGATCGCAACTGCTACAGTGTTAGAGCATGCATCAGGATAAAATGCGTTCGCGGCGCTCCCAGTGCCCTGCCAGTTGTGATGCAAAACTATTGAAAGCTCGACCATCGATACTATCGATAGTTTTTGCAAAACTACCAAGAGTGGACTACAGACAGTACCAACGATAGTATTGTCAATAGTCGACTATCGATAGTTTTACCGCACTAGTAGACGTATATTGAGAGTTAGGCCTTGTCAATAGTACCATCGATAGCACTATCGACGATAGTCGACTATCAATAGTTGTCTAGCTAAGCCAACAACTAGTCTAGCGTTGTTGGCCAACTAGGCCAACAACAAGTTTTAGTTGTCTCTTGGTTTACTATCGCGGTATTATCGAAGGTGAACTTTGAGAAATTTATGAAGTGTTACGAAAATTAAAGCACAATCCAAAGGGGATGTGATGACGGATTCTAGGGGTAGACTACGCAAGGTGGGCAAAACACAAAAAAAGAAACTAAAGAAAGTTGTATTCTGTTACAAGGAACACAAATGTGCTCCTTTCCCTCTACCCATTACTTGTATATATCCCTCAAAAATCAGCCTTCTCGGTTTAGTTTGCCCGCACTAACAGAATAAAAAGTAACTTCAAGTATTTTTTTTTTCTTTTTTTTTCTTTGAGCTGGGGTAAGCACTCGCTGAGGGGCGTTTAGCATAAGAAGATTCTGCAAGTTTGTTTCCCACTTGTTTTTTTATTATTAAAGAATACAAAGAAACATTATTGAGAAATGCAGCTCGCAAAGCAGCGCGCATGTAGACGACGAACATGCTGGTATATATGACATATGAAATGTTCGGCCGCCGTTTTTGCTTTATTTTTATTATTTACCCACCTCTGAGTTGAGCTCAAGAGAATAAGCATAAAACTTGTTGCGAATTGAAGTTCGCGTGCCCAATTTCAGATATTTATGTTTGTCATTCGAATTTCGCAAGCGTGCCAAACATCCTTACGGTCACTCCACATATTCTATCTATGGCTTCACGATAATCGACTGTCGACCGCCGGCTATCGATGGTTAAATTTGTCATCCCCTATCGATAGTGTCAATAGTGCTACCAATAGTCTTGCACCACTACCTGCCAGCCACGCGGGGTGCTCAAGTCGCCTATTGGGCAGGTGCCAGATATTTTTAGGCTTGGTCGAAAAGTACTGGCGAGATAGGAATCTCCGCCCCACCACTGATACACGAGGTGCTTCAGTGACATTGAAGTGAAAGGACATGAGACGCAATCTTACCTTACTCCGCCGGAGCACTTCTATAACATTGGGAGTGCTTAGATAAGACTCGACTCGTTTTGTTTTGAGCAAGCTGGCCTTGATTATGATGATAATTTATTGAACGTTAAGAGATCTACGTCCTCTTATTACGCAGCGATTGTCCGACTAGTGTGAGTAATAATGGCCCTGCGTGCACAACTAGGTTTTCTGAAGTAAGATAAAAAGCAAAATGAC